GTGAGGTTAAAAAATTGATTGCAGCGGCTGCATTTCTCAACGCAATTTTGGATATATTTAATTAAAAAAGAATGAGTAACTTGACGAAATCTGTGCTTCGTTTCGGTAGCAGCCTGATTGCCGCTAACTCATCCAACGCATTGAAAAATGTATTTGGCAAGCGTGATTTCACTCGCACGCTCTGGCACATGTGTAAAAATCCGGAAGCGTCGGGTTCATCAGGTGCAACTGGTACTGTCCTGAGTGTGCACAAGCCCAGCTTGAGCTGCAGCTGTGGTTGCGGTGGCGCCAAGCACATGCACACTAAAGGTAATTTTAGTTTCAAAGATTTGGGCCAGGAGTAATCGGCTGTATTACCGGATTGATTACATAACCTACAAAAACGTGATGAAATGATTGCGCGCTGATTTGTAGATAAAAGTTATTAAAAATCGCTTTATTTTAATACATTAGGTGAACGGGAGCTTGTCGAATTCCTTACCGAAGAAATTTTGGCTGAACGTAAATCACAAAAGGTTAAGACTATTCCCACCACTTTGGATGGCTTCAGCGTGAAACTGGATGGTGCTGATGTAGAATTAACCAAGAAGAGTGATAAGGAGAGGTGAGAATTAAGAATTCGATTTGATGAATCAAAGTGAATTAATTTATAATATTTTGTTCAGCATCGTCATAAATTTCAATGTCAACCACACTGTAGACACTGAAGATGAGCCTGAATTGGATCCCAATGCTGAAAAGGCTGAAATCGGTGAGATGCGCAGCAAACCACGCTTTGAAGTGGATATTGTTAAGGGCTCTACCACACTGTCATTCACATGCTCGTTCTTGGAGGGAACACCGCAAGAGGGTGAATACAGTAAGTTCAATTCAAATTATGTAATGAAATTATAATTTTCTTATCATTGTGATTACAGATGACATTTTTGGTATCGATGAGATGTGCATTTACCAAGGCGAATGGAACGATAAAGTGTATGCCGTAGCTGGCGATGTGCTTGATGGGGTAAGTGAATGGAAAACGACATTTGCATGCACATAAGTACAAATGGTTTTTTTTCCCCAAATAAAGTATCTCTATGACTTGCTGATGAATCTACTAGAAGAGAAAGGGGTCAGCAATGAATTTGTTGAAAAACTTTCGGACCTTGCCACGGCATTCGAGCACACTTCGTATATAAGTCTATTGGAAAGTCTGTCGAAATTTACCTCCGGCAAGTAAAATCTGATGGCCACAGAAATATTGCTGCCTCCACGGGACTGGCTAGCGCGTTATCTTCACGTCATACAAACTCAATGGCAAGTAAAGTAAGGATCAATTGCAAGTAGGGAGAACCGAGGTAGAAACCATATTTCATTTTCTGGAAGCTACATGTTTTCGCGTTGTTATGTAAGTTTTCTGTGTGTGACTGCCAATTTTGCTGCGTGGTGTAATACACATTTTAAGTACGATTATCTATTTAAGCAGTTGGTTTGTTTGCTTACAAAAAGTTTGTAAAGTCAGATGTGTTTGCATTTGACTTCCCAATGGGTTAATTTACAATAATAAAATAACTTTTGTAAAAAAAGCGTTGATTTAATTACATAAATAAAAATAAATACATACATAACTTTAAGGAAAAATGAAATGTAAAATTCATTTGAAGCAATTGGCGTTAATAGAAATGAAAACGCGCATGAAATACGGTCAACTATCACCTCATCAATCGGTCTATAGTAAATTAGTTAGGAAAAGTCAGTTAGGAAATATTTAGCCATAGGTTAACAAATCTAACTAAAGGGTATAAGATTCCTATTTATAAACATACTTGTAAATCAACAACCTGAAGATGTTTCTTGGTGTGCAATTTGGAAGTGCTCACGTTTAAGCAACAAAAAATTAAGTGGCATGCAATAGTGAGTGGATGATTGAATAAGTAAATATTTGTTTATTTATGTATATATTGCATACATAAACGCTTATGTTCGCTGTGAAAAATTATGCTTATAAATTTTAATAGTCAATTTTTGTCTGCACGCGAAATTGATGGCACTAAGCAATATACACGTACCTAGGTCTAACCTAGGTACCTACATACAATAATTACATGTGTACTAACAAATTTTGAAAGTTTTTAAACTTCGAAAACTGTGTCGGTGCCTCATTGTGCTGCACACAAAATCGCCGGCAGACATAAGCTAAAACAATCATATAAAAAGGCAACAACAAATAAAAAATAGCAAAATTTATATTAACACGAAGAGGAAGTTGTTGCTATTCGCATTCTGTCACATAGCTGGCACTACGAGTGCATCGGCACTTGCTGATCACCTACAGCAGCAGCGCAGAGCAAGCTGTAACATTGTCATTGTTAAGATTGCTAAATCTATTGCTATTGTTATTACGTTGATGCTGCTACAATTTGGCGTTGGCAGTGACGACACGTGATTGACATACATAAAAAACGCTCAACTCGATTTCCGGCGTTGATTTAACCGATTTACAAGCGATCATACTAAATAGAGCCTACTTTCAACCATAAATACATATATGTGTGTACATTAGTATTTAATTCGCAAGACGCTTATAAATGTTCAAATCGTGCAGCGTTGCAGTGAAAGGGTGTATTGCGTATCTCACGCTCCTTCAACAGCTTATCTACTGCCACTCAGAATTGTGGCAATTCTTCAATGCAACGTGATTGCAATCTACACAGCACATCTTTGACGTTATGTAAAATTGACGATTGTTGGTGCGGCGGCGGTAGATGCAATGCAGTTCGTCGCATAGAAAACAACATCTTCACTGCACGATCGATGTTATTGCTGCAGTTATATACTGACACAGACATATTTGTATACAAATACATACACATACATATATGCATTTATTGCTGCCAAAGCCTTTCGACTTGGGATTTATGTGGGATCGTCGAAGATCGATGACTTGCGATCAAAAAGCCAGATTTGCTAGAAGTAATGTACATACTTACATATGTTTGTACATAGATATGCTTATTCGGATATGTATGAATGTATCACACAGCTTTAGGCGCCACAAGCTGCACTCTGCTGCTCTTAATTGTGATAGATGACTGTGGATGAGCTCGCGAAAGTGCTTTGAATGCATTTTCGTAGTCAATCGACTGGCACCTAAAGGAGGAATACGTGATCACGAGCGGATATAAAATACTAACACATTAACATACATAGAAATAGAAATAGATTTGGTTGTGCAATAATTGCATAACGACTTTTATTTTCATTTTAATTTCAACACTGGCCTTTATTGTTGTGACTTTAACACTTATCGGAATGAAGTGCGCTAATGGATTTGGCTGAACAGAACTTGTAATTTTTATGGAAAGTGAGTGTTTTTTTTTATTAAATTCTTTCCATGCTGGATTCAGGTAAAATATAAAGAATTTTTGTTAAATGAGTTTGGTGTTTACTGGTATGTAATCAAAGAAATTAATAAAAAAAAAAATATTCTCTAAGGACACCCCTCCCTTGTGCCGAAATTCGAATGCAATTGGTGATTTAGCTTCAAAGGCCATAGCCTGTCGCCTCTAAGGGCAAAAGCTTTGAAAACGCTAGACTACCTTTCAAGAGGCCAATTAAAATTTAAATTGTCATATACACACGTACATAGATAGAAGTTTATCTATCATTTTTCCTGACCAACTACCAACTCAAGCTTCCTGCACTACTCGGATTAACACTAATACTTAGTTGTTCTAATTGTGGGGTACTCACCATTTTCATGAAACTTTCGAAAACTTGTATGAAACGGTTTTCTTAATAACACTGTGAAAACACATATACACTTTGCTAAGAAAAAACTTTGTATTCACCCTTTTCGAAGTATTAACGATTTGGTTACGAAAATCTTAAAATCACGCACTACTTGATTTTAAATATCCAATAATACTTATGTATGTATGTATCCTTTTAAAACTTTATTATTTTAATTTTTAGAAATACTCAAATTAATTACAACGTTTTTCACACCGGAAGAGCCATACTGTAATTTTTCACTGCGCGGGAACTGTCAAACGAATACGGATGAGGAAATAAAGGAAATGAAAAACGAACTGAAGAAGCAGCAGAATAAAACCAAAGCTCCATCGCCCACGTTGCTATGTTGAATTTTAAAATGTATGAAACCATATGACGGCAAATTCGTCCGTTTTGTACTTTGCTGCATTATTCGCACCGCAAAGATTGAAGCCAATGCTTTATGTTTGGTTTCATTTCTGTTTTTCATTTCCTTCCTACCGCCAAAAGCATGACATTTTGCGCCAGTGTAAAAAATGTGCCGCGTTTAGATTGTGAAAATTGTAATGTGGATTTTAT